CAGGCTGGCCTCAAACTCACAGAGATCCACCTGCCTCTGCCTCCTGAGTGCTGGGGTTAAAGGCGTGCGCCACCCGCCGCCCAGCATCCCATGTTATTTCTACTGCCTGCTTACTTACATTTATTCCTTCTTTCCTTTCTTTCCTAACAATGTCCCCCTCTGTATTTTATAGCCCAGGCTAGCCTAGAAGTCATTATATGGCACAGGCTAGCCTGGAACTCACTCTGTAGTCCGGTCCTCCTGCCTCAGCTTCCTAAATGCAGAATGATGACATGAACCACCATACTCAGCTACATCTTCTTATCTTTTAAAAGTATTTCCCCCTTTTAAAAAATTTTTTGCTTAAATTCATTTATTTTATGTATATGAATGTTTTGCTTTGTGTGTGCATCATGTACATCCTGGGACTGGCATTGTGGATATCTGTGAACCACCATGTAGGTGCTGGGAATTGAACCCCAGGTCTCTGCAAGAACCGCGCACGCACACACAATTCCTTGCAGCCTAGAGAAGTAGATAGGATAAGACTTCCCTAAGGAGGAGACTGACCTGAGATCGGCGGTTGATGAGTGAAGGAGAGAGGTGTGCAATTGTTTGGCCCATCCAGAAGATACTCTTTGACTCTAGCTGAAACATGGGGCTGAAAAGAAGAAATGACACCCAAGGGGGAGATGGGAACCGGAAGCTGGGTCACAGGCTGAGAGCGTAGGCTGGATGTTGGGAGGAAGAGTGACAGGTCAGAGCTCTGCTCGGCAAGTTCGACCGTCTGATGTGGCAGGCAGTTGGAGGGCTGAAGCAAAAGCTGAGGCCATCACCTAGAGGCTCTTGTGGGTATCAGACGTGCAGTTATGAGGGCAGAAAGTAAAAAAGAAAAGAGCAGCCTGGAGATGGAAAGACACACTGAGGGAAAGCATCCGAGTCCTCAGGACAAGGAACCAAGGTGAAAGCGAGTAGCTCCGTGTTCTACTGTCCCAACAGCCTCAAAACAGTACAGATTCTTTTTATTAGCAGCACCAACGGTCCGATCCCGTCTGTCTCTTACATGCGGCTCTGTTGTGAGCCTGGGACAGTGTGCAGTGTCCTGACTGTACCCATTCCAAGTGGGCCACACATGAAAACTACGACCCTCACCAGCTGACGTTTGAGCTCCTGAACCTTTCACAGCCAGTGGGAATGCATCACGAGGAAGGCACGCTCCTTGCATTAATAAGCTTGCCTTTTCTTAAATGATTTTGGGGGGGGAGGGGCAGTGTTTTGTCAGCACAACCAGCAGTATGCACACATAGATCGGGGTCTCTTGTTCTGAGGGAAACAGAAGCACAGCACTGTCAGATCTCTGTGAGTGAGTGGGAGATGGTCAGGGACCCACCTCCGATCCACGGCCAGTACTGTAACAGACTAAGCTTATCAAGTTAAGAAGGAAAAACAAAACCTCTGCTCAGAGGTAGCTTCAGGGGGAAATTTTTAACATTCTGTTCATTTGGTAGATAAAAATATTTAGAACAAAATGGGGGGGGGGCGGATTAGGCACGTTACTTTTCCTTGGCTACCATTCAGTCTGTCTGCGGACAGGTCCTGGGGGGCTCTCTTGCTGGGACTGTGTTCTTAGCACAAAGCGGTCATTCCAGTGAACTTGGCCTGTCGTGCGGGCCTGGTGCCCGCCTTCTGTGTGGTGGGAACTGGCCTGGAAGGGGGTTGGCTGACTCGGCGCATTCTATAGGCTTCAGCGAGGACTAGAGTTTCCACACGGAGTTAGGCCACACAGGCAAGGGATAGGAGTTCCCCAGCAGGGTCTGATCGGGAATCTTGGCAATTTTCCACAGCCTGCCCACAAAGTCTCCTGCACCTCTCTATAGGCAGCCTGGGCGCTGCGAGCAGTTTTGTTTTGTTTTTTTTCATTCGTTTGTTTGTTTTTAAAGATAATTTCTGAAGTTGAAAAGTTATACAAAAATCACAGTACTCCCTTTAGCTCAGTAGTACACAGTCATTAACATGGTCACAAAACTTGAAACATTGATTTTTTTTTAAAATATATAGTTTCTTTTCATCATACTTGGCGCTGGGTTATGTAAGAGTATTTTCATACAAGTATGTGGTGTATGTGGAATATATGGCCCTAAACTCCCCTGCCTTCCCCTTGGTCTCTTCTGCTCCCCTAAACAGTTTCTCTTTCACTTTCTTTTTAAATTACTCCCATTATTTATGTGTATACTGGTGCCCGGGGAGGGCAGGAGAGGCTGGGGGGGGGGAGCTGTCCCTGGAGCCGGAGTTGCAGGCATTTGGAATCCGAAAGCCCTGTGCCTGCCCTGCGGTATCTCCAGTGTGCAGAACTACCTCCTCCTGCCATCAGAAAGGAGAAAGGGTGCCCAGGCTGTTCGACTTTCGCTAGACAAAAAGGGCATTGGTGGGTTTGAGGCAGCGGCTTCTCGTTTAGAGTGGTCAGCATTCTCTTGCAGGTCACGGGGTAATGCGTTGTCATCTGTTGGGAGATCTGAAAGGGGTCACAAGAAAGCTTAGCCCCACACACACACTGGCCCCAAAAAGTAGCTTCAGGGTTGTTTCTTTCTCTGGATGGTAGCCTCCTCTCCGTTAGGCTGGCTGCTGAGGTTGTGAGACCACATAACCTTGTCGTCCAGCAGCATTTGAATACGAATTGTGCCAAGATCCCGCGCAGCACTGACGTTCAAAGGCAGCGGGATTGGAACAACCTCATCTCTCGCCTGGCCTTTTCTGCCTTGCAAGTCTTTTTGTTGTTATTGTTTTGACTGGGGCTGTTTGTTCTGTTCCGTTCTGTTCTGTTGAGTTGTGTTGTGTGTTAGAGACAGAACGTTATGCAGCCCAGGCTGGCCTTGCTGTGTGCTGAGACCCCAACAGGAAGAGAGAAAGCTTTCACTAGCATGTCCCGCCTTTGGCTTTGCTGATGTTTGGGGTAGCTGCTTAGCAGTTTTGCAGGCCCAGAAAACTACAATAAGTGTGGAGTTTTGGATATTCTCTCTAGTTCCTAATTCTTTCCATGGCCTGCACCTAAGGATGCAAAAGAAAGCGAGTCAAGATGGGAATCCTGCTGAGGTCCTGACAGATTTGAGAACTTGCACACCCAGCCAGACTAGCAGAGAATGGCCACCCGTCCCCGGATCTTCTTCCACGTGCACAAGGTCACCTGAGAAGTGGCTGCCATTCAGCAGTCCTCGGGGAAAGAGGGAAGGGGTTCCTTCTCCACTGGCCTGTTGCAGAAGGGGTCCAAATGGAACAGGGTGAGATTCTGGCGTCCTCTCACGCGGAGTCAGAACTGACCTCTGCCTGCTTTCAGTTACACAACACCTTCCATTTTTCTTTAATATCTGCGTTAAATGCAGAGGATGGCGCACCCTCAGCGTTTGATTCAGAAATAGGACGAGGGAGGAAGGGAAGTAGGAAGGATCACACTGCTTTCTCTCCCCTCGGTGTTCATGTTTATCGTTATGTTTCTCTTGATTTGAAGTGGAAAAACAATTTTATTAACAACCGCTGTTTAAAGTCTGAAGTGTGCGAACCTTTTTCCGTTGTGGGAGTTTCTCCAACCCCTCAGTAATTACTCTCCTGAGAGACTAACCTAATTATTCTGATATCTCTCCCTCTATCAGAAGTAGGACACTAAATTCATAGGAATGTTAATGGCTACATTTAATTGATTTCAATGTTTCATAAGAGAAAGCTTTTAGCTCTATATTGAGTATTTTTTATTATAAGAGAAAAAAGTAAATTTAATCTGTCTCAATAAAAGAATGTCATCAGTAGATAGTTAGAAAAGAGGTGTCCAAATTATTTCACATGACTCAGTGTCAGAATTACATCATGTAATTCAGTTTTTCTACCAAAAGAAGGCAATTTTGGACTAGTTCCCTGCTGACCATTGACTCCCTGACCCTTGTAGGAAAAGTTTGTGTTTAAAGAAGAGAACTAACCTGTCTGTGGTGTGTTCACATAGCCATGTCCGGCTGTCCAGCTGTGGTGTGTTCACATAGCCATGTACAGCTGTCTGTCTGTGGTGTGTTCACATAGCCATGTA